ATCATGGCATTAGTATTCGCAGGCTGGGTTCCTTTGGAGTTATTCAATGGCCAGCATTTGGCCAGCACCCTAAGGTTTTCTTTGTATGAAAGGCTAATTTCTTTTATGTATGTATTCTTTTTTGTTGAATTTTTAAAAATGAAACATTAAATAGTATTAAATATCACACTTTCATTCCCCACCTCTTTAATATTAGTCTGTGTCCCTTTCAGTGACAAAGGGAATCATATTACTTATGAATGGAGCTCAGTGACACGATGGGCAAATGGCAATAATGACTAACAATTACTAAACACTTTCTGTGACAGCTACTGTGCTTATCACTTCTCAAAGAATGCACATACTTATTTTCACCTTCCAAAGATAAGGAAACTAAGCCTTGTGGATTGATTCCTACAGGCACACTAACAGAGAATGGCCCAAGTTGAATCTGGCTTCAAAGACAGCAGGTGACTACTGAGTTATGGAACAAACAGTGGGGCATGATAATGCCCACTCATTCTCAAATACATAGACATTAAAAAAATTGCTTTCATGTGTATTGGTGTTTGCCTACATGAGGGAATCCTGAAACAGGAGTTACAGACAGCTGTGGGTGCTGGGAATCAAACCCCGGTCCTCTGCAAGAACAGCTAGTGCTCTTAACGGCTGAGTCATCTCTCCAGCCCCACATTTAAATTTTTTAAATAAATTATTTATTTTTATGTGCACTGGTGTTGTCCTGCATGTATGTCTGTGTGAGGGTGTCAGATCCCCTGGAATTGGAGTTATAGACAGTTGTGAGCTGTCATGTGGGTGATGGGAGTTGAACCTGGGACCTCTGAAAGACAAGCCAGTACTCTTAACCACTGAGCCATCTCTCCAGATCCCACATTTAAAAAATTACCAGAGGCTATTCCAGTTCACTCACTCTACTTTAAACTGCTTTTGGCTCCAAGAGAAGACTGCATTTTGAAAATACCCAAAATGAAAACACTCGTTTATTCAACAGCCCTTTGTTGAGCCACTACTATGAACCAAGTGACAATGTTAAAGATGAAAATGCCTGCCTTTTGGGGCTGGAGAGATGGATCAGAGGTTAAGAGCACTGGCTGCTCTTCCAGAACACCTGGGTTCAATTCCCAGCACCCACATGACAGCTTACAAGTGTCTGTAACTCCAAGATCTGACACCCTCACACAGACATACATGCAGGCCAAATACTGATGCACATAAAATAAAAATAAATCTGACACACTCACACAGACATACATGCAGGCCAAATACTGATGCACATAAAATAAAAATAAATCTGACACACTCACACAGACATACATGCAGGCCAAATACTGATGCACATAAAATAAAAATAAATCTGACACACTCACACAGACATACATGCAGGCCAAATACTGATGCACATAAAATAAAAATAAATCTGACACACTCACACAGACATACATGCAGGCCAAATACTGATGCACATAAAATAAAAATAAATTATATATAAAAA